ACCTGAGGATATTTTCTCCATTGATTTTTAGAGGGAGTGGAAGGGAGGGGGAGAGACACAGAGAGAGAGACATTTATGTGAAAGAGACACAGGGATTGGTTGCCTCCTGCATGTGCCCCAACTGGTAAGTGCCCTTGACCGGAATAAAATCTGGGAGCCTTCAGTCCATGGGCTGATACTCCAACCAGTGAGCCAAACCATCTAGGGCAGTGGTTCTCAACCTTCCTAATGCCGCAACCCTTTAATACAGTTCCTCATGTTGTGGTGAACTCCAATTTCATTGTTACAAATTGAACATAATTAAAGCATAGCGATTAATCACAAAAACAATATGTAATTATATATGTGTTTTCCAATGGTCTTAGGTGACCCCCCTGTGAAAGGGTCATTTGTCCCCCAAAGGGGTCGCGACCCACAGGTTGAGAACCGCTGGGCTAGGACATCGATTCCATTTTAAACATCCCTGACTCTCTAAGATGTAACTCCCTGCCTCTTTTGCCCATATCCCTTGTTTGTCCTTGTGGGCTGCATAAGAATGCATCTTCCATACAGTGGAACTTATCTTGTTCCAGCCACATGTCCAGCATTCTTACTTGCTCTCATATGTCAGTGAAGAAAGCAGGCATTTTGGTGTCAGAAAAACCTGGATTCAAATTCCCTCTCACCGACTGATCTTGGAAAGTTTCCTTCATCATCTTGGGCTCTTTCTCTAGAACAGTGTCTGGCATTTAATGTGTTGCTGTTATTTTATTTTTATTAGGTTTTAAGTCTCCAAAATATCTTTTTTGATTTTTCTGATAACCAAGTTATTATCCTTTGATTCCTTGAGTTAATGTCCTTTATAAAATGTGTTGCTCAATACTGAACATGTTACTGAATAGACCTCAGTGGAGTGAGATAATCACCTTATTTAGACGCTGTTTTCATACTACCCCAAATCAAATTAGCTTTTTTGGGAGGTGTAATACATCTGAAAATCCCAGATTTTTCCCCTCACATATTACTATCAAACTATCTTTTCTAATAATAGACAAACATGGCAATTGACCGTAACTTCACTACTCCTCCTATTGGCTAATCAGCCCGATATTAAAATTAACCACTAACAAAGATGGCGGCTAATTTGCATACTGCAGGCAGGGCAGGGCAGTGCCATCCTGCCTGCCCTGCCGCCATCGCCTGCTATCTGCGACCCGGGGTGGTGGGCATCTGTGTGCGACCCGACCAGGGGCAGCTGGGCGGTGCAGCAGTGATCAGCCAGCCTGCCTGGCCTCCATCCAGGCATCCCATGTGTGACCAGCCCGGAGCATCCCATGTGAGACCCGACCCGGGGCGGTGCCCCAACCCCCAGATCGGCCCTGCCGTATGCGCGACCGGGGAGGCGGGGCAGGCACTGAGGGATCGGGCCTGCCATCTGCCACCCGGGGAATGGACCTAAGCCAGCAGGTGGTTATCTCCCGAGGGGTCCCAGACTGTGAGAGGGCACAAGTGGGGCTGAGGGACACCCCTCCCCACACCCCTCCCTTGCCAGTGCCCAAATTTTTGTGCACCGGGCCTCTAGTCCTACATAGTTGGCTAAAATATTGTTTTCATCATTTTATATTTCTACTTGAGTTTAAATTTTTATCTGTGCTTCAGTTGCTATATTAGAGCTACAGCTAATACTCTATAATCTCTCAGCAGTTTTATATATGCAGTCTCATTTAAATCCTCAGAATGACCGTGGGAGGCATACATTGCCTTCATGATTATGATTTGGAAATGGAGGCTGGAAGTGTGACTTGCTCAAGGTCAAGCAGCTAGTAAGCAGAACCAACACTGAAGTCAGGGCTCTTATGACACCAGTCCAGTGTTGTTTTGAGGAAGGAAAAGAGAGAAAAATGAGCTCTCAATTAGATGGAGGTAATAAGAGAAGTTTTTTTGAAGAAAGTAAATATGGGGTTTTATAAGAAACGATCAGCAGATGGGGGTGCATGGGGTTGAGGTAAGGGGGATTTATAAGCAGGAAAGGTCCCAAGAAGAATTTTTTTTGACATATTGGGCCCCCAAGCTAGGCCAGTGATTCCCGACGGAACTGTCTATCATCATCACCTGGGGAGCTTTTTAAAGCTCGTCTGTTGCCTCCCCCCCACAACCTTCCCCCCAAGATTCTGAGTCAGTAGATTTTACTTGTGTTATTTATATATCTCTACAGGTAATTCTGATGTATAGCCTCTGTTGCAAACCACTAGGGTAGGGTCTGGAGGGTCAGTTACCTAGACAGAGTGGTTTAGGGGTCCTTATTGTAGAGAAATGAGTTAGGTAGATGGAATTGGGAAGGGGAGAGGATACAAAGTAGGTAATGGTATTATATGAGTTCCTGAGAGGAAAACTTTTGATGATAAGGAAACCCTACAGGTCTCTAAGCAGGAGATTAGGATGCTTTAAGCCCCTGTGGATGCTGATAACTTTGAATCAGGACTCAGCCCACATTCCCTTTCTAAATCCAGTCTCTATTCATCAATCTAAACAGGATTATGTCAGTCCCCTCACTTAATCCACTTTCATTACATCTTTACCTTAAAATGTTCCTGTGGCTGTGGCCCATGTGGTTGGAGCATCGGCTCGTGCACTGAAGGGTCATGGGGTTGTTGATTCCTCGTCAAGGGCATGTATTTCAGTTGCAGGTTTGCTCCCTGCCCCTGTTTGGGGCGTATGTGGGAAGCAACCAATCAATTTCTCTCTCTCTCTCTCTCTCTCTCTCTCTCTCTCTCTCTCTCTCCACTCCCTTTTACTCTCTGAAAAGCAATGGAAAAATAGCCTTGGGTGAGCATTAACAACAACAACAAAATATTTCTGTGGTTTCAGACTCATTACCTTCCTCCTTTGCTGCTGAGTCTGGGTCTTAATCCAATTTTTGGTCTCTCTCTGCTTGCAGAAATGTTACAAAAACTTTGGACACTCACTTCAGAGTTTTATAATCTTTACTAGGGGCCCAGTTCACGAATTCATGCACCTTAAAAGGAACTGTGGGCGCAAGGCTGAGGTGGGAACAAGGGCGGGTCTCGGCCCCTCCCTCCACAACCCCGATCCCCTGTCTGCTGCTGGCAGCCCCGCTCCTGCCTCCTCTCCCCCCATGCACTGACATCACAGAGTGATTGGGGTCATGGTACCAGCAGCTGGTGCAAGCAGCGGCTGCTATCCTGATCCCCCCTCAGGAGTCAGGGAAGGTGGAGAAGCCCTGAGGGGTGATCAGGGTTGGCAGGCACTGCTCACACCCACTGACGGCACTGGGTGATCTGGGCCAGTTCCAGGAGCTTGCAGCAGGTATGAGCACTGGGTGGGACTGCACAGGAGCAATTTTCAGCAACCACCAGAGGCTCTCCCCAATGACAGCAACAGGTGTCCCGCCTTGTTCTGGTGCCCCTGCTCACCTGCTCCACCATCCCACCACGGCCAACACCCACCATGTTCCACACGTGGCCCCTGGTGGTCAGCACACCTCATAGCAACTGGTTGCTCGGTCTATTTGCATATTAGCCTTTTTTATATAGGATTTTCAATCTGCCAGACCAGGCTGTCTACTTCTGTGCTAGTCAGTCTTGAGCTCCGTCTGATGGGTGCCAAGCTGTATCCTGACCTGTGTGGGGTGCCATGGAGGGAGAAGACAAGACCCAGACCTCAAGAAGTTCCCAGTTTAATGGAGGAGACAAGATACACACATGAAGAAGGCTGGAGCATAGTTACAAAGCATCAGGTCTGATCAATACATTAGAAATCGAAAGCATTAGAGACCCAACCAAGCCCTCAGCCCCTCCTCCAAGTTCCCTTGGGTCAGAACCTTCCTGAGTCTCCTTTGACCTCATTTAGTATTTCTCTTCCATCTCTTTCCCATTGGCTTCTTTCTAGCATCAACAGCTAGGCCAGTGTCTAGGTGTGATGTCAAAGCTTATAGCAAGATTGCTATAGGATTCTCTGCTTCAGTCTGATCATCCCCAGCTACCAACCACCTCACAAGGATTGAATTCGTATTAGCCATCTTGTTTCCAGAGCATGTGCTTCTATGCCTAACCATTTCTTCTTTGGTCAGGGAGCTGTGTTCTGTTGGGAAGGAAAATTCAATCAGGAGGGAATATCCAGCAGGTGAGAGAGATTCCTACAGTCTCAGTAACAGATTGGTCTAAGGATTCCTGGGTCTAGAACCCTCATCTTCTCCCTCTCCCAGCCCGCTCAACCCATACATAGCCCCCAGCACCTCTGAAGGTCCAGGGGCAGCCCTAGTCTGTGGTGAAGTCAGAACTCGGTACTCCTTCTGCTTGACTCACACCCCTGTCCCCATTTGTCATCTCTGTCATCTCTCTGCCTCTGCGTCCCAACAGAGAGGAGCCCTGATGTCGCAGCATCTGAAGCCCTTTTCCAACGGCTCTGCGCACATCTGAAGAAGAGAAATAGAAAAGCAGAGGGTCCAGACTGGCGTTGAGGGAACTGAATATCACAGCTTCTGCTCGCCACGTGGGGCTTTTCTGCGTGTAAAACCCCACCAGGTGGGATACGTTATAAGGCCCAAAGCACACCAAGAAATTGAGGAGCGTCACGACAGCCAGCCCCACAGCTCGGCGCCGCCTCTGGATCCCCACATGGGGCTGGGTGAGCATGATCCACACAAAGCGCCAGTAGCAGAAGATGGTGACCCCCATGGGGATGAAGAAGAGGACCAGGCACAGCTCCAGCCGCACAGGAATCACCACCTCCAGCTGCTCATCAGTGAAGTTCTCATAGCAGGTAATTTCACTTATATTTGTGACATTCTGAGCCGGTTTCAAGTACTGAACGATGATCACGATGGTGCAGTGACCAAAGGACATGATCCAAGCAACCAGAGCAGCAATCACCCCATATATAGGCCGGCGGGACAGCTTGTACTGCACGGGGAAAGCCACTCCCAGGTAGCGCTCAATGCTGATCCCTGCCAGGAGCCACGTGCTGCAGTAGATGCTGCTGTAGAAGCCGAATCCTGTGAGGGCACAGACAATCTCAGGCAGATACCAGTGGAAGTTAGATGCAGCCTCAATGATCTTGAAGGGCAGCAGCAGCAGTAGAAGAAGGTCCGCCAGCGTCAGGTTGAGCAGGAGGATGTGGACAGGTGCAGGGTGGGGTTGGCGGACCCGGCCAACGAAGGCCCGCAGGGCCAGGAGGTTTGCAGGGAGACCAGTGAGGAAGATAATGATGTAGGCCGAGAGAATCAAGGAGCTCTTCAAGTCTGGCATGACTATTCTGGAAGAGAATGAGAAAGGGCAGGGTCAGGAGTCCCTACTCACAGCCTGCAGACCTGCCTCCGGCTCAGGATGAGGACATCCTCTCTGGCAGCTCCCCTTCCCAGGCCCAGGCTTTTAGCTGCCACCACTGCTTGCTCACAACACCTGCTAGAACTGCCCAGAGCAATTATTGACTTTGCCTGGGGCGGGATATTAACTATGAGTTATTACGTTTGCCATCATGTGTCTCTGGGGGAGACCAACCCTTGGCTTCCCAAGGGAATTCCCCTCTGGTTTCCCAGCCTTTCTCTTGCTCTCCTCACAGATACAGGAAGTTACTGATATCAGTTTCCAACTTTCCTTAAGTCCCTTCCTCAGTCAGAGATCTTCATAGAGAAAAGGCAAGCCTTCTCACACACACAGAGAACGCTGTGAGAACCAGGCCCCTACCCAGTGCTGGCTCGCCACACAACCCCCCAACACACCAAGGAAGCAGGTGCCCAGCCCCCAACCCATCTGCCTACCTCGTTTTCCTCTCCTTTCGCAGAACACAGATTCTCCTCCACCGTTTCCTCTCCTGTCCAATACCAGACTCTGGGACTGTACTAAAAAAGGAAGCTAGTTAAGTGTGGGGGTGGAGGCAGTAGGAGGAACAGTGAGCCAGCATGATTTTGGGGGACTTGTCCCACAGAAAGTTAGAGAATATTCAGAAAAACCTGCAGGCAGTCACTGGCTCCTGAACCTGGAGTTTTGACTGCAAGTGAAGAACTCTTCTTAATGGGGTAATTCAATTTCCACTTTGGTTATGACCCTCACCACCCACACAGTCTGGCCCCTCCATCCTCTTCCAGGCTTGATGTCCCAGCCTCATTTCCTTGCCCCCACACTGGCTCCAGTCTCCTTATATTCAATTCTGACAGGTTTCCTCCAGCTCAATACCATCTCCTCCCAATTCTGCTCCTGCCATCACTTCCCAGAGCTCAAGCACTAAGCTATCTGCCTTGCCTTGTCTTCGTTCCGGATAGATGGCTTCTTGGAAAAGAAAGTCTGAAAGCTTCTGAGAAGGAGAAACAGAGCTTCAGCCACTGCTACCGCCCATTTCACACAGGAAAATATTGTAAGGAACCTGGCTGCTAGAAAGCTTTTATACCAGCACAAGTCATGTGACCAGAGAGAGGAAGGTCAGTAATTGAGCACTGTCTCTTCTCCAACCTGAAGGAAAAGGCGCCTGCATCTTCTGTCTCACCCTAGAGACCCGCACTCAGACTTCCAAACCCAATTCCTGAATTTCTTTTTAATCCTAGGCATTTTTCCCATTTCCCAAGTCAGAGTCTCTTCTCTTCTTCTCTTCTCTTCTCTTAGCATTTTTTTTCTGTAATTCTACTCATTCTCAGAAAAGAGGATTTCTACTGCCTTTTATTCTTCAAGTAGAAGCCTGGTGCAAGAAATTCGTGCATGGGTAGTGTCCCCAGGCCTGGCCAGCGATCAGGGCTGATCAGGGCCTTCCAACTGCCTGCCAGGGCCTTCCTCTTCTGGTCAAATTCCTGAGGGGACACTTTGCATATTAGCTTTTTATATATATAGGTCTTTTCCCCTCTCTATCTGGTATCCTGTCCTCTGCACCTAATAAGTTTCTTTTACATTCTCAGTTGAAACAGATTGGTCTCTCCTAGCCTGTCTCTTGTTCTAGAAGAAGTAGCGTGGGATTTAGAATCATGCACATGTGGGCACAATCCAGGTCCCTTCACTGTGATTTTGAGGCAGATCAATTTTCTGAACATTAGTTTCCATTTCAGTCAAGTGAGTTCAGGAATACTTACATCCCAGGATTTCTGTGAGGAGCAGTGGGTAGCATATGCAAAGCATTTGGGCTAGTGCTTAGCACTTCTTAGATGCCCATAGGTGGAAGTGCTCCCTCCTTTGAAGCCTGTTGGACAGCTTCTGAGAGAGTGGCTACTTGATAAAATATCCAGAGGCTGAGAACACAGACCTACCATCTGACTTGGGAAAGTATCAGGGATTCAGTGGGCCCAATATGCCTGTGCTGGAGGCTAATTCCAGCATGTCATAATAAATGCGAGAAGTCCTCAAAAGGTTGATGGGCTTTCATATTCAGCAGGGCTGAATCATATTATTGCCTGCTGGAATAGCTGAAAGCATTTCCCTAAACCTAAAGTTTTGCATATATTATTGTCTACTGCCTGACAGCTGAGGGCAGTTCCCCCAACCTGACAATGCCTACTATATACTAAACCTTACCTTTGATATGTATATCTGCTTTGCTTTCGGGCAATTTGTTTTAATAAAAAGCTAGGGGTCCAGAGATTCAGAGAACTTTGTTACTGAAGCTAACCCCTCCTCTGGCTCCCCCAAAATGCCTTCCAAATTTATATTTCATGTCTAGTCTCTTTATTAGTTTACTTACAGCCCTTCTCCAGATTCCTGAACCCTTCTAGATGCTGAGAGACACCCCGCCATGCCTGTGTGGCTCTTCCTAGGGGAATGGTAGTCAGGTTCCATTCCTTTCCCACATACATTCTCTCCCTGTAAACTGGGCCAGCCTCTGAGCCACCCTGCTCTTTTCTCACTATTTTCACCTGTATAGCTCCCATTGAAACACATGCCTGAGGAAATAAAGAATCAGAGCATGTTTCCCTTTGACCTAAGGGATGGGTCTCTGTTTTGCCCTTTGTGGCCTGATCCCTACTCACAGAATCTTCATTCTTTCTCAAGGACATACTTATTTCCTATTGCTTGCCCATTCATTCATTCATTCATTCATTCATTCATTTTGTGGCCTAGATCCCAGGGTCCAGGTATCTTAATATTTAACTTTTCTTTCTCTTCAGCTCTCCGCTCCTCTAGAACTAAGGAGTTCTATCTTTTCATTAATTTCCTTCCCTCAGCACAGACATGCATTTCTCAAATAAACAGGGGAACTGAGGAAGAAACCATTCTTTATTGCTTGTTATTAAACTTATTGTATTTGTATCGTTTTGCTTTTATGATTTTCCATAAATATTCACGAGGGCCTGAATTTAATTGCAAAGCGAAAACTTACTGGAAAATTGATGCTGGGAATAGGATTGCTTCTTTATTCCTGCCTGTTCTTCCCCACCTCATGCCTTTCTCATATCACTCTTGTGTATAACTATGTTGAAGGCCCCCGATTGAACCCCTTCTCCATGTTTACGGTAGTTGTGAAGGTAACACAATAAACTTTTGAACTCATGATTCATGATGCTCACCTATGTCACAGGAAAAGGAAATGCAACCTCTCAGGCTGAATTTAAGGCTGAGATTTCACAAAAGCAGTATCTTTCACAATCTCTTCAAGTTCAGTTTTCTCTCTTCATCGTTATAACCCAGCTTGTTATGCTAGGAAGTTGAGCCCATTGTCTAAATGTATAATCACTTTCTCCACTTCCTTATTTCTTAGTCACTCTTCAGTCTACTCTAATCTGGGTAACATCCCTATTTTTCCATAGGATCTGTTCTTTGTCCATAGTTTCTTATTATATCATTAGCATTCAACACAGTTTCCACACCCATCTTGAATTCTTTCCGTGAATTCTGATATGTTATGTTCCTCTGATTTCCCTGCCTTTTCTTTAGTCACATCTTTTTTTTTTCCATTTTTTTTTTATTATTAGTTAAGGTATTACAAATGTGTCCTTATCCCCCCCGCCCATTAACCCTCAACCTCCCCCGGCAAACACACTCATGCTCCCATCCCCCAGTTGTCCATGTCCATTGGTTTGGCTTATATACATGTATACAAGTCCTTCGGTTGATCTCTTCCCCTTAGTCCTGCCAGATGTGCATCTTTTATCA